AAAAAATAAATAAATAAATAAAAAAAGCAGCGAGGTTTTAAATCTCATCAGACTATTGGGAATGAAATTGAGACTACTCCTTAGAAGATGACGAAGCTGTAGCTCTGGAACACAGAGTGACAAAATAAATGATGAGAGGAAATCTCTTACCTCCATTACAATTCTGCCGGCGTTAGCGCCATCAATTGTGATGTCAAAGAAAACTCTGGGGTTTCCCATGTTCACAAATGTGCTCGCGATTCGTTCGTGATAGAGAATAACGTACTGAACCTGACAGCGACACTCGGGTCTATTTTTGGATGGGTCTTGCGGCAGCGATGTAAATGGCCTACAGCCAATCACAGCCGTTCCCTTTCAAAGACTCCAATGCTGACCAATTGGATTTAAGATAATCGAGGTTACGTGTGACATTTCCACGGCAACCCTCAAGGGCGGGGCAGGAAGCAAAACAGTTAGGTGCCTGACCTAAATTATTCCCTTTTGATAGACTTGTAGTCAAGACCACCTAAACCAAGACCAAGACAATACCAAGACCAGAGGGTATCGAGACCAAGACAAGACCGAGACAAAAAAAGTCTTTAAACTGCAGCCAGATGCTGCTTCGTTTACGGGTGTCAGGCAAATTTATGTGTTTTTGCGGTGCACTCGCACAGCCCTCTTCCCCGCTGTCTACTGTCTCACTCACTTACAGAGAGGACAGACGCACGCTCCACTTGACTGTCGCGTCTCTCACCCTCTCTGTTTTTCACATCATGATATTATCCTATATGCTCGCATGTGATTGGCCACAATATGGAGGGATTGAAGCATAGCTGAGCCACTGTGTGAGAGCTGAGCAGCGAGAGGAAATTAAGTGAAGCTCTTAGAGAACTTACGTTGTGTGTCATGGATACTGTTGACTCCAAATCTCCCCCGACCACTATGTCGATCTGAGACAGCAACACCGAGAAAGCGAGACCAAGACAAGACCAAAGTCCATCGAGACCATTACATCAGTTACATTTGGGGTCAGATGATGATTCATCTGAGCCCAAAACAGCTTTCCACTTTGCCTTGGTCCATTTTTGAATGTGCTTTGGTGCACATACAATGGTGACACTACTGGATCATTTTAACATATGGCTTCTTTTTTGCATAATATGCTTCAGCCAACATTTGTGGATGGCACGATGAACTGTCTGAACAGAAAATTTAGGAATTTTTATACATAGTCCCCCATTTTCAGGTTCAGCATTAATTGTACAGTTGACTAACAAGCAGTTTCATGGTCAGGAGAGGTCTATGACAAATTAAGTAGATCAAAGATTTGAAGCTGATTCCAAATGTTGGATTTCCATTTGGTAGCTGCTCAATGGAACTCTCAATATGAGGTCCACAGAAATGTCAAGGTGGCCATCATTACACTGAAAAAACAGATAAATCAAAGATTAACTTGGGACAGCATGCTAGTAAGGGAAAAGTATGGAGAAAGAGAGAAATGGTGGAGGCAATGTTATGGCATAGGCATGGTTGCCAGTAGAACCAGACGACTACTGTTAATAGAAGTAGGATTAATTCTAAAGGCTATGCTCTGAGCCCAAAAATGCTGTAACATACAAACTATTTCAAAAAATTATTTATGCTATTAGTTTTATCCATTTATAACACAGAGTTTAAATATCCAGCTAAAAGCAGACTAATAGTTAACTATTAGTGAAAACAAAATTAATAAAGATGACTAACCCAAACAGCAGTTGGCATTCTGATGGAAAAAGCTTTACATACTATAAATACATTCAAAAAGCTAAAACTAAAATAAATGTTAAAGTTAAATAGAAAAACGCCATTGGTCAAATAGCAATGTTTAATTCTGATTCAGTTTCAGGAAGGGGACAAAGCAACTGTGAATACAATGATAATTATAATTAAAAAATAAATAGAAAATAATGGCAATTACAATGTGTTACAAAATAGGCAGAACATTTTTAAAAATCTTTTTTGTTTTTTGTTTAGTTTTTTTGTAGTAAATTTGTTTGTTCATACTTTTCAAATATAATTTTGCGTAGCTCAACGTGGAAAAGAATTTCTGTTGCTTTGTCAACACAATGTTGGACCACAACGAGTAAACAGTTCATACAAAAAAATGTCAACTTTAAAAAAACCACATTAAGAATAATTTCAACTTTATCTTGATGACTGCTGACTGTCCATTTTTTTGTCACACATGCATCTTTTATGTATGACCTTGATTTTTACAATTGGTTTAACACTTTTAAACATACAGTATACAGTGCCAACAATGATCCTTTATCCAACTAATAACATTAAAATGATCATGTTTAACAATTTGTCTGATACACACACACGTTCTCTAATGAAAACAGTTGATTATACAATACGTAAACCCGTGCCATGATGGGTTATAAATGTAAAACAATATAAAAACATACTAACTTTCAAATGGCAGAAAAATGCCATGACACACAGCTCATATAAAGTATTTTTGAAAGCCCTCAAAAGAGGGTAAACCAACAGAGGGAAAATGAGGCTTTGTACATTTCACAGTGCTGAAGGATGTCAGAGAGACAATGAATGTCAGTGCTCTCCCAGCTTTATGTTGTGGAAAAGGCCTACTGGCAATGCCTTCATACTTTGGGCTTTTTCTCATTTACTCTATGACGACATGTGTCTTTTAGCTCTACACCTTAACCACTCTCATTTTACATTGTAATCATGTGTGTATTTAAGAAAATGTTTGTCAGTTTTCTTTATCTTGCATTATCATCAATTCCCAGAAGATGACCACAACTAAGAAATGCATCATGCTACCAATTAGTGGGTCTCAAGCAAGAAATACTTGTATGAATAAATATAGTTACTTATAGTATTTAATTTAAATAAAATTGCACAAAATCATCAATCTTTACCTGAATAAATGTAAACAAACTAAATTATGTAAGATTAATATTTAGTTATTTAATTAATAATATTAT